CGGCGCATTAAATGTTTCGTGCCTATGGGGAGAATTCGCTGAAACTCATTAGCGTGCAAGCTGGCTCGCGTGTTCTGTTTAAGAGTACCGTAGTATGCGCTATCACTGTGTGATAGATTAACTCTGATTGTTTTATATCGTTCAGAAACTACTAATGATACGCGGAATGATAAAGATCATAAAAAGGGAACGTAAAGCAATGCAACTTGAGCGATTCGAATGATTACGATTGAGCATCTCCGAGAATGTCAGCGGTTCGAAACGTTAAACTTCACTGTCGCTGTTCAAGTTTCATTGCGCACGGTTTTCCTTTATGTATCGTTATCTTTAATACAAATTTCTCAAGTTTCTTTCACATGCTCGAGTAGAAAAAACTCGTGACAATTTTAATGCGGATACTTCGGGTGTTCTTGCTCACCTTTACAGCTTGAAGCGAATGTTTCAAAGGACGTTGTAATAATTTTCATGGCGCGCTCTTAAGCCGACCTTCGATAAACGGTAATGTTTTAGTATCCCCGAGTAGCAGCCCTCATGAGCGCGTGAAATACGATCGTCTTAAAGTTTCCGCGGTGTCGGAGGGATGGCCAGGAGGTTCCGCACGTCCGCAGTTTTAAAGAGGCGACAGTAAGGAAGTAATAAAAATTATACCACCAGCTTAGTCCGTGGGTTTGTATACGAGTGAGTTACAAAACGAACGAATTACGATATCTCTCTTGTATAAAATAAATGATCTATTAAAAAGATTCGATACCATCGCGCGGTTTCGTTATACCGTCGTAACTTCTTCGACGTGTTATTAGTATGATATTATAAAACGGACATTCAGAAATCATGATATGAGTTTACCCGTGTTTTTTTTTACTTGAAACGTTGAAAAATCCTGTTGTTTCTTACGATTAGTTTAGCTGTTTCTAATTATTTTTTTAACGATATATTAAATACACACAAAAAACGTGACATAAGATGTATTTCTGTCCTGCAAACTAATAGACATCGTCTATTGGTTCCGCCATAAATTTATTGTTCTTGGAGTGAAATCTGTTCAGTGGATAAGTCGTTGTTAAATTATGTGTATGATCGTTGCGAGAAAGATTTGTCAAATTGGACGCTGAAAACCCCGCTATCTCATATTAGAAGCTCATCTCATAATAGAGATCTTCCCTCTATAGGGGAACCTGGGGCATAACGGAACGACG